TTAAGCTATACTGTTATCATTTGTACACTTTTCTGTTTAAATGTTATATTTAAAAGTTAAATGAAGAAGTTAAAATTGTAAGCCAGTTAATTAAGTTGATCCATGGAAAGTGATTTGAAGTTAATGTTAATTGAAATTCCCAGGACAGAATTATGTTAACACTATAATAATGAAAAAGTTTTTGTACATGTATACATGGAGGGTTGGGGAAAGGACATAGTATTTAAGCAGTTGTTATTTAAATTTGTTATTCTTTTATATGAATGAGTGCTCATAAAAGAAGGAGGAAAGCCCACATGTGTCCGCTGGTTGTGTTGCAGTGCTAAAAACAAGATTGTCCTGTCTTCAGTTGTCCCCTTCGAATTGGGATAAATAGCGTAATCAGCTAGTGCTGGTAGGTTTGAATTGTTTTTTTTGTTTTTATTTTTCTTTTTTGAGATTTATCACAAGGTAAATAGTATCTTGACTGCCCCCTTTCAAATGTGACATTTATGAAGATGTGAATTATGTATCTATTTCTCCTTATTTCCTAGGTTTTTGTGGAGACTCTGGATAAATGTTTTGAAAATGTTTGTGAATTGGATTTGATCTTCCATATGGATAAGGTACCTACTCTCTCAAACCAGGGTTACTAGGAAACTAAGAACCTAAGACATCTCTAGTCATCTGTACAGCTTTATGTTCTTTCTTTTGTTTTTTTTTTTTACTCCAGGGGTAGTCCTAGAACTTGTTTTATTTAATAACTTAAGTTTATAGTTTGGGAGTATTTTACTAAGATTTGTTAACAGTTTTAACACACATAAGATTATTACTGGGCCTATATTGTTTCATCTTTTCATCTTGGTTTAGGGCAGTAATATCACTAGAATGGCTATAAGGCCAACAGATAAATAGTTTTATGTTGATTATGAAATGAATTTCCTAGGCATAGTCCAATGACAGTGAAGCTTTGAAATAAACACAGAGGTTTTTGACTTAGCTAGTGAAATTTACATTTTTTTCCGTAAGGGTAATCAGTGACTAAGACATCAGTAACATAGTCTAAGGTTAGGTGATACTCTGTAGAGAAGCAGATTGTCGGGCAGAATTGAAATGGTCCAAAGTACCTGTTTTCAGTTTTGCATTGCTAGCATACCTGTGATATGGCTTATGTTTTATGTCTTATGTGCCAAATTCAATGTGGGAGATAGCCAGCAACGGGATAGGAACTGCCATATTTATTTTATCCAGCTGGGCACGTTCTGTACCCAGTGCTGTGCATTGGTAGAGGCTGGTGCATCTTAGGTTTACCTGGTCCTGGTTTTTCTTCCACTGGTTATTGTCACTATGTCCATGGCCCTTGGAGGGCAATAATGATTTTTAGGAGACTACTACTCATTACTAAGCCATGATCCTTTATTAATCTGTTTTCATCATGACGAGGTAGGTATTTTTAGATCCATTATTGCAATCCAGAGGGCTTTTTTTTCATTTTCTAATAGGTCTTCAGTCTCTCCAGGGTTCTCAGATGACACTTTCTGAGCTAATGCAGTGAGTGCCTTCTTAAGGATGGGTGTCGGCATGGAGTAAAGTTTTCTCTGTCAACATCTGGCTTGGCTGTGTGGCCCCCTGAGCAGCCTGGTGCAAGAGAACCCCATTCCTTTTGTAAATACTTGACTTGGGGCTCCCTCATAGCCTCACAAGCCTTCCAGAGCTCACTGTTGCTTTTGAGGTGCTCACTCTCCCTTTTCATATGAAAGGATCTTAGAATCTTCAGAGACCACTCACCCCCCTCTTTGCAGGCAGTTAGCTTTGTTTTAGGCCTTTCAGTTGTTTGAGGTGCTTCTGTCTTGTAATTTCTGTCAAGGAGAGCCATAGCTGAAATCTGGTTTTCTTCTGTACTAGTGGGGTTAAGATTAAAGAGACTTGAGAATATGGCCGGAACAGAGGAATTCCTTCAGTAGGCCTTATTGTTATTATTTTAAAAAAGTTCTTTGGTTTTTTATTTTAAATTGTGAAATACAAGGTGTTACCTTGGGGTTACCATCTGGTTCAAAGTAGATTCATTTGCAGATGTCACCTGTTGTTTCCCAGGCCGGAGATGAATCCACATCTCAGATCATGGATTAAGGGACAGGTTTTTCTAGAGAAAAGGAATTCCCAAGCAAGGGAAGAGGAGGCACAGGTCTCCCATCCACGCATTGTCCCCATGGAGAGGTGTGTCAGGGCCTGTCTCTACTGGAGTGACTTCCCTGCTCCCCTCCTCACTTTTTATCAGGCAACAGCGAGAATAGCCTTACCAGTGAGGAGATACACAAACTGCCTGGATACTAGGCAACCTATATTCAAGTGCCAGCTGTCTACAGGAGCTGTCTGTGAATGCCAGCTGCCCAACACGCGAAAACTTAGGTGCCTATTGGGTGATACATCTGGAGAAGGCAATTGCAGTTCCTATGGAAGTTGAGCTTGGGTCCTTTGCATTTTAGTATACAGTTTAGAGTCAGTTTATGTTACACACGTGCACATGCACAATTACATGCAGGCACGCACACACCCCTGTTAGGGTTTTGATTAGAATTACATTGAGTTTATAGGCCATTTGAGGAGAATTTACATTTTTGCAATATCAATTTTATCCTTTTCTTTAGGTCTTCTTTGCATTTTCTCAATGAGCTTTTACAATTTTCCCGTAGAGATTTTACATATCCTTTATTAAATTTATACCTGGATACCTGTATCTAGGTATAAATTTTTTTTTTTTAGCAACGGCTTATTTTTTTTTTTACATTTTTTATTGATTCATAATCATTTTACAGTGTTGTGTCAAATTCCAGTGTTCAGTACAA